GAGGTCAAATTCAGGACTGGGGAGATAGGCCTTCGAGAACGTCGACGAAGACATAGGACGGTAGACGAGGAAGACGACGAGTTCAAATGTGATTGCGGCTTCGAATGCGAAGACCGTGTTCATGTAGTCGCGGAATGTCCGTTGTACAAGAAGGAGAGGGAAGTGTACGTGACTGAGCTGGGAAAAATAGATGGAACGTACAGGGAGATGTTTGAGGCATGGAATAGAGAGGAGAGGATGGTGGCTGTACTGGGGCACAGGAGGTGGGTTGAAAAGGCGGGAAGGGATATCGTTAGGATAGACAGACTAGGGAAGACGTTTTTGAGCCACCTTTGGCAAAGTAGAAAGGAACGATTGGCCATCGGTGATCGGACCAATGCTCCGTCCTCTCGAGGACGCGTGGTCAATGGTCTAACCGCTAAGGCATGCAAAACATAAGAGCACGCCCCCCCCCCACCTTCCCCCAAACGACCGAGTTGATGCCTATTGCCTCCACCTGACTCTGCACGATCTTAGTTTATGGGCACGGGGGAGTTATGCAGATGGTGTTTTCAGCGTCCCAGGATATGAGTGACTGACTCTTTTTGATTCTCCCAACTCCAGCTCCAGTACGAATCTACCATCGCGATAAAAGCGTCATTCTTCACGAATGAGCGGGGACATTTGAGCTGGAATGAAGCCCTCGTGATGTGCTGGCGCCATTTTCGAAACCCATGAAGGATGCCAGCCAAGTACTCCCCCCTCCCCTCCCTTGCTTCTCTTGTCGTTGTTGCACGAAACAGCCGGAAGAGGGGGGCGTCCGGTATGCCGGTGGGTGCCAACAAGAGGTATCAGTCGCAGGCGGTCGGCCTCGTGCAGGAAGTGATCGAATGGCTGATCGAGAAGCGCATGGTCAAGTACGACGACGAGACCGAGTGGAGAAAACGCTCGGGCCTGGAGCCGCTTCCCCCGCCCAAGCCCGCGGCAGGAAGTGGCAGCGGCGGCGGCGGCGACGCAAGCGGAGGAGGAGGAGGAGGGGGGGGGG